GCTACACCTATGTGGACTTCTGCTTGCTGCAATCGTGCATACGGCATTTGATTATGACATTGCGCCTAGATATGAGTTCGTGAATGTTCAAGTAACACTTTTTTGCCAATATCAGAAAAAAATTATATCATTGTGATTTATGATGAAATATTTTGTGAAATATATCTAAAAAATAATGTAAGTTTTGTGTCCTTTTCTACATGAAATATGCTTCTATCAAGACTCCCTGGTAATATGTTGTAAGTTCTGAAGTAATTTGTACGTATATTACATACGAACCACTAATGTTTGAAAATAGCCTTATAAGGATTGAAATATTTCCCTTACAATTTGCTCAACGGTTGGTACATTATGGCATCGGTAAATTTGATTTGAAATTGGTCGTTACTGCTGTAAAGAGGTCTTCATTATAAAGGTCACCAAATAATCAGATTTTTGAACTTCGGATGTATAAGCGAGCTACTGAATATTTCATATTGAAAATGATAGTACTCAGTAATACCCACTCTGAAATAAAAACTATATGGAATATTGAACTAGATTTTGTGCACAGTCTTCATCTAAAGTTGAAAGAGTTATCGCAACTGTTTTGTGCGTTTCCGATAAAAAATAATACGTTTATACATTACCATAGGTCATAGGTACCATAAATTTGCAAATATCCAACCACACCTAGGCATCTGCATGATTTTCTGCACATATTAAAGATAATGGGTGCAAATGGCTAATCAACAATTCTACACTTGTTTCCCATTGCAATCTGCTAATTTTGACAATTATTGAAGAAAATGGTTTGTAGGATACCTAATCTATTTTATTCCCTTAGATATAAAAGTGAATGTAGGCCTACTAAATAAGGATGGGAAAAATTCTACGACTTTGGTTATTTCTCGTATTCTGTGTACTAAATTCATATGCTTCTAAAATTCTCAAAATTGAATTACCATGTTGTATTCATGTTGTTTTGTACTGATTTTGCCATCCACAGTTCTCCATTTTTGTTTTCAAAATCAAAGTAAAAAAATAATAATAATAATATTTAAAGATTTTGAAAAATAAATTAGAAAAATTAGAAAAAGGTTCTTATCTTGTTTAGATTAGGTGTCTCTATGGTAAAATGCATTTATTAAATTTTTGAGATGAAAATATCTACTTTTAATCCCCCCTCCCTCCCCCCCAATTGACTTGGTAATCATTGCCTCGCAAAGTACACTAAATAAGCTTTTTTTATATGTATATATAACATCATTAGATTTAGAGAAAAACAACAGAGATAACGAACTTTGGCAAGCTGCCAAAATGTAATACGCCGTATTTTCATTCTTTGTTTACGCGACCTTCAGTACATAATGGGGCTCATAATGGTGCTTGTAATTTTCATGCGATTCAAATGCAGTTTGTTGCTTTCGCTAGAGCCTCGGAGCCCTGAGGCTTTGCAATGACCCGATTTGAAAATTTTGACCTTAATCAAAAAATATAATTTTTTTTAATGCGGGAAAAACACAAAAAAATAGTTCTCCATTTTAAAATCTGGCTATTACCCAGCCTTAGGCTAGGATAGATCTAACCCATGAATTTTTTGTGGATTGTTCAGGAAAAAACTGTGGGCCACATTATGTACCGAAGAAGAGGGGGGGAAAGGCGATTTTTTCACACACACCCCCTCTTATACTGTTTCCATTATGAGGCTCTCCCAGCACATGACCCTTTACCAGTCTTTTTCCTAACAAAAAGTTTATGCCACTGGGATCCAGTGTGTTGAATTATCATATAGATTTTTGGTTGATGCTTATTTTTGGCACACATTGTTTTTGTGGGGATTATTCAGCCCTAGCATTTTATTGGCATTTTCATATCTATATGATCATTTAGGGTTAGATTCCTGGTTATGATTATTCCAAGGTCTTTTTCCTTAGCTGATGTGTTTAATACTGCGTCTCCTAATTTGTATTGATATAGTGGACAATTTCTAATTTCTCTGAACCTGACTACATGGCATTTAATTGTGTTAAATTTCATTTCCCAAGTACATCTCCATATGAATAAGTTTTCAATGTCATTTTGGAGGCATTGGCATGAGGTATAGTCAATGTTATTGTCTTTGATGGCAGAAATTTTATCTCAAAATAGTCTTACTATTAAAGAAATATTTTGGTTGATTTGTACATTTGTTACTTATATCTTTTTCAAAGTCTGTTTGTGCCTCCTTCATGGTTTGGATATAGTCATTTCTTCCTACTTTATACCTTTCATACCCTGCCTGAGATCAATGTCTTCTGAATCTTTTCCAAAAGAGCTGCTTGTTTTTTCTCATTTTCGAGCATTTATCATTGAGTTTTTTTGTCATTTCTTGCTGCAGTTTGGAATTTGGGTATAATTTTTTCTACTCCCTTTTTTATCGACTATGCAGAATTCTGAATATTGCATAGCAAGATTCTCATCATCCAGGAGTCATTGTGGAGTAACTCAAAGCAGTATCAAGGTTACAGACCTTGACTTTGCTGATGATGTTGCTATTCTATCTGTCTTTAGAAAACCTTAGTGGTGGCTGTGGATGAATTTAGCAGTGAAGCAAAGCCCTTGGGTCTAGAGGTCTCCTGGGCCAAGACCAAGGTCCAGGACTTTGGGGACTTGCTAGGAGAACCTGTTCGGTCAGTATGTGCTTGCGGTGAGGACATTGAAGTCACAGAAAGCTTTGTATACCTTGGTAGTGTAGTTCATAACTAAGTCAGCAGATGGATTAGCCTAGCAGCAGGAGTCATGAACTCTCTCAACAAGGGTATTTGGAGATGTGCGTACCTGTACAGAAGGACCAAGCTACGGTTTTCAAGGCCCTGATAATGCCAGTTTTGCTATACAGTAGTGAAACCTGGACATTAATCTGTGCCTTGGAATCTCGTCTTGATGCCTTTTGTAATAGGTCCTTGCACCAGATCATGGGGGACTGTTGGCAGGACCATGTGTCCAACCAACAGTTGCACCATGAGACTGGCACAGGACCTGTTATCTGCACAATCCGTGATCGCCAACTCATGCTATACAGCCACCAGGCTCACTTTCCTCAGGATGATCCTGCCTATCAGGTTGTCACTGTTCGAGACAACCCTGGGTTGAGGGGGCCTATGGGATGACCTAGGCTTGTCGGCTTGCCATGAGGGATCATTGTAGATGGAAACAAAGGGAGGATACAGCTATGCTCCCCCGTCAGTGTTAGCTCCCCTAATGGTGATGATGAACCACTTCCCTTGTAAATGTATTTCCCCTTTCTTTCCTTACTTAGGAAGAGCTTTCCCTGTAGCAAACAGTATTTTAGTTTAGTTACTATATGGTCACTTTTTCCTAGAGTGGGACATTATTCAGTATCCTTAATATCATCTTTATGCTTTGTAAATGTTAGGTCAAGCATAAATGGTCTATCTAGCCCTCTTACCCAGTTATGATCTGTTTTATTTTGGAAAGGTATTACTCTTTTATGACTTATAATGTCCATATATCTATATGTATGTATTAATGTAAATATATACCCATATATATACATGTGTGTGTGTGTATATATATATATATATATATATATATATATATATATATTATATATATATTGGTGACATTTATTGCCAGTACCAATAAAGAGGAGATCGAACGTAAATTAGATCAATGGAAAAAGGCTTTAGAGGATAGAGGCTTAAAAATCAGCAAGGAGAAGACAGAATATCTGAATTTCTGTGAGGAAGAAGGAGAAATGAGAATGCGAGGTGAAGTACTGAAGAGAGTTGAAAAATTGAAGTACCTTGGATCAGTGGTATCCAAGGATGGAAAGATGGATTCAGAAGTTACACACAGAGTACAGGCAGGTTGGATGAATTGGAGAAAGATATCTGGTATTTTGTGTGACACAAAGATAAGTGCAAGAGTTAAAGGCAAATGATACAAAACAAATGTTAGGCCAGCAATAATTTATGGTGCAGAATCTTGGCCAATAAAAAAGTCTCAAGAAAAAAGTTTGAGGTTAAGGAGATGAATATGCTGAGGTGGATGTGTGGAATAACAAGACTAGGTAATATTAGGAACAAAAGGATTAGAGAGACATAATATATATATATATATATATTTTATATATATATAGGTATATATAATTATACATATATAATATATATATACATATATATATATATATATTATATATATATATATATATACAATATATATATATATATTATATATATACATATATATATTATATATATATATATATAAAATATATATATAATTATATATATATAATAAATATATATATATATATATATATATATATATATATATATATATAATATATAATATATATATATATATATAATAAATATTATATATATAAATATATATATTATATATATATATATATATATATATATATGAATATATACATATAAATAATCTCTCTTCTCTATCTCTCTCTA